GGGGGGGGGGGGGTTGGGATCGTTTAAAGCGTGAAACAACGACGACGGTTGGGGAGAGGGGTTGGTTGGAACAACACCAGGGGTGAAGCCCGTGCACTTGTAGCCGCGGGTCAAGAGAGAGACCACAGGAAGTGCTGCAAATTTGCGCCAGTTGTTTCTCCCAACACAAATGTGTGAGAGATATACCCATAGCCGTGCACGATGAACCAACAACACAACGCGCACGGCGCACGAGCAAGCAAATCGAACGAAGAAAGAAAGGACAAGAAAAAGCATGCTAACCGCTCGCCATGCACAACGAAACGCCTCAGCAGTACTTGCAGTCACAACAGAGCGTTTTGAGAGAAGGTTTGCCCTCCAGCTGTGAAACCGTCATAGCTTCACGCGTGCACACCCAAAATACAGCACGAACCGCCTCGCGGTCCTACTGAAGGAAGAAACCAAACACCACAAAAACATACAACATACGGCAGAGGCTATCGCTGTCCTTGTTGCCTGCTCGCAGGTAACATCACATAAAACCGTCAATCATGTCGTACAGTAGAACAGCGACGCCAACAAAGGCCGTGTCGCTATAATAGTACCCTTTCGCTCTTGATCGCCAATGAAAAACATACAACACCAACGGTACTACCGTCTAAGTGCTACGATATTGACCAGCTCGGATGACGGCGCCAAGCATGAGCTGGTGAGAGAGCTATATAATCATCACGATGGTAGTAAGATGGAGGGGGCTGTCGCCAGAACGAGGCTGCTGGCAATGAGAACACCGAGCATAGAAACTTTGCAACAGAAGCTGGCTTTGGTCTGACCAACGATGATGCGCAGAGCGAAGATAACGTTACTAATAGCGAGCATCAGGGAATCCAAGCAATTAGACGAACTCCGCTGAGAATTGAGCGGAATGTTTGCAGAATCTTCAGGATCGTCGATTAGCTTGCCGATGGCAGCGTGAAGGCGGGTTACCCCATCACAGCGGCTACATTGTGAAGGCTCGCGTCCTTCGTTCAAATTGAACGTTGAACGCACAGCCAGCGGCGCAGTACGCGGAATGCTCTTCGGAACTGATGCCCTCGGTCTTCAAAGAGCGGAAACAGGAGCGTGGAACATACGGCGGTTTCGATGTGGGGACCACGTGGAGCGGAAGCCTCCCCGCCAAACGCGCAGATTGCGGATGAGAGGAAGACAAGCAATGTAACATCAAAAAAGGGAGGTGAAGGGAACGGTCCGTTTCCCCCTACATACCCCACTTCTCGAACCTGGGGTCGACTTCCACGCGCTCGGGGACCATCTGGTGATCGCCCACGGACATTAGACTCGTTGCGACAACGGCACGTTGTGTCGCGGGTTAAGGTTACCCCAAACCCGCGACAAAGCATGACCGAACGCGCTCAACCTGGTGGGGTAGGGGAAACAGACCGTTCTCTTCTCCTCCCTTTATGATGTTCTGCTTGCCTTCCTCTCATCCGCCATCTGCGCGTTTGGCAGGGGCGCTTCCACTCTGCGTGGTCCCCGCACCGAAACCGCCGTATGTTCCACGCTCCTGCCTCCGACATCAGTTCCGAAGAGCGTTCCTCGTACTGCGCCGCTGGCTGTGCGTTCAACGTTCACTTTGAACAAAGGATGCAAGCCTTCACAGTGGAGCCGCTATGATGGGGTAAACCGCCTTCACGCTGTCATCGACAAGCTAATCGACAACCCTGAAGATGCTGTAAACATTCCGCTCAATTCTCAGCGGAGTTCGTCTAATTGCTTGGATTCCCTGATGCTCGCTATTAGTAACGTCATCTTCGCTCTGCGCATCATCGTTGGTCAGACCAAAGCCAGCTTCTGTTGCAAAGTTTCTATGCTCGGTGTTCTCATTGCCAGCAGCCTCGTTCTGGCGACAGCCCCCTCCATCTTACCATCGTCATTATACAGCTCTCTCACCAGCTTTGGCGCCGTCATCCGAGCTGGTCAATCAATATCGTGGCATGTAACGGCTTTGGTGGTTTTCAATGGCGATCGAGAGCGAAAAGGAGTACTAGCGTCACAGGCTTTCGACGCCGCTGCTCTGCTATTGTACAACGTGCTCAACGATATTATGTGTGACGGCAAACATGGGGGACTCGCGAGCACGTAGAATGACGATAAATAGCAGGGAGGTTGTCAAGTTGCACAATTGACGGCACAAACGCGATAGAGCCCGATGACCTCCTCACGTCAAGCACCCCAAAATACCAAGACACGTATGGAAGAGGGTGCTCTGCACTCCTCGTTATTGCTTGCTTGCCAGGTCTCCCGTTGGCGAAGACTGACTGACTTACTGACTGTCAAGACTGCCTCACCGAGCGACTCTCGGAGGGAGAGGTGGATCCGACCACGCTCCCTGCGGGCCGCCTGGCTCCGGGCTCCATCACTGCTTGTTGTTGACGTTCACGTTGTTGCCGGTGATGATGATGATGGTATCGATGTTATTGGCGACGTTGTTGTTGATGTTGACGTCATTGGCGGTGTTGTTGATGATGATGGGATCGATGTTGTTGTTGACGTCGTCGTTGATGATGGTGTTGTTGTCGATGATGGCGATGATGTTATCAACGTTATGGTTGTGGCAGGAGCAGCGGGGGCAGCAGCAACAGCAGCAGCAGCAGCAGCGGTTAAGGAGGAATGAATCAAAGTCAGAACGGTGGTGATGTTATCGATGTTGGTTTTGTGGTTGCGAAAACGGCAGCGGCGGCAGTTGCAGCGGCAGCGGCAAATGAGAATAAATCACGCGCACCACGGTGAAATAAAGTAATGCGCAGCAGCAGCCAGTAGCGGGCATGACTCAAAACACTGCAGCAAACAGGACGCTCGGCACTCAAGAGACCGGGATCGCTATGTAGTGACATCATACAGGTGTACAGTAGCCATGAGGACAGCTGAAAGTGTCAAGATCAGCTACGGCATAGTTTCCGCAATTGTGCGAGTCGCCACACACACACATACCCCAGACCTACTTTCATAGAATAGCTCCGTTGCTCCACGAGCACGCTGTTTGCCTATGCCGAAAAAGGGACGGTTCTGGAAATATCACGCGGAGAGGTTTCCTTAGACACGTCGACCAATTTTCGCACCTACCCTCTTGGGCGTGGAGCACAGCAGTTCTCGGTTTAGGGTGTGTGCGACGGCTAGCACTTCCACCGTAACACAACGCAAGTCGATCGACTAAATTGAGAGGCCGATCGATCGATGTTATGTACGATTAGAGATCGAAAGGTAGATTCAATGTGCAATGGAGGTCGATCAATTGAAACATGTAGAGGTCGATCTCGATCGATTGAATCAAGTACAATAGAGTGCCGGCCAATCGATCTAATGTACCAAAGAGGAAGGCCGACCGATCGATTAAGTGTACGAGAGAGGTTGATCGATAGAGTAACTGCACAATAGAGGTCGATCGATCGATTTCACTCGATTGATCACAGCCGTGGGATTGGAAAATACCGCCTCTCACAACACGCATGCAGGACACGGGACACAAGTGGAAGGCACGTTGTTGCTTCGGTCGAGGGCGAGAGACATGAGACCCCCCCCCCCCTGCCCCCCCAAAAGTGCGGTGATCTATGCAACCAAGGAAGGAATTCAGCAGTTAAACCCTAGCGTGCAGACACAGCCAGCGGCGGGGGCTTCCCGTGCAACGGGAGTCGGGTCTCACTTTTTGTCTCGAGCAGCTTGCGAGCTTGCTGTTCTCTCGCCAGATCCTCCTTGGTGGCGCCGAGAGATCTTTGGATCAAGTCCTGTCGAGCCCCACAACCCGTCGCCAAAAACAAGCCGGTAAAAACAAGAGGAGGGGGGAGGGGGGCACAACACGACAAGAGATGAGCGTAAGTGAGAGGTATGTACGCAACGTCTTTTGGGTAAAGGTTGGATGCTGTTCAAAGTTGCCACGATACCTCAACAGTCGGTAGAGCGAATATGCTAGGTAGTTTACCCATCGATTCTTTCCACCACCAGTTGAAATACCGAATCAAGTGTTGCGGCATGCGATGATCGATGTGCCTACATCGCAATAATGCAGGCGAACCAAAGTTGCGGACTTCCGTGGGAGCAGCTTGCAGCAACCAGGCAGCAGCATGAACAAAAAAGCTAATGGTGAGTTTCCGAGCCAAGCTTACGTGTCCAGGAAAGCCTTGACAGTATTCCGACTTCTCCCTCTCTTTGAGCGCTCCGCATCTGCGTCGTCAGCGCCACGCTCTACGTTTCAAAAACGACCCCCAACATAACCCTGTGCACCATTTACAAAGGTGTTTACCTTCGCACGGACGAAGGAGATACCACTGATGTTCACGATCCTCCTCAAAGTCAAAATCCTCCAACTGCAGAAGCTGTTACGAAAACAACATCAGCACAACGCGATGCAAAAAGTCCGATTCCCCCCTCCCCGTGGTTTGACATGCCACAAGCTCGGCTTCTCGACGAATACAAAGAGGGCTACAAAAAAACATGTCCCAGATCAACGAAAACGAGAACCGCAAAAAAACAGGATTTATTATTTTCGTTTCATCGTGTTACATTTCTCGCTCTCCGACCTTCTCCGCCGTGAGGTTGATGGTGAACAATACTAGGTCGTCGTACTTTCGCCGGAGCTCCGCAGCCTGAGCCCACATCTGATCTTGCGACCTGCGAAAGACAACAACACCGTCCGTTCCGTTCATTTTCGACCAACGACGTGCGGCCCCGGCATGCAACAAGCAGCAGCCAGCAGCAGTCGACGATGCGCTGTCAACGTCAAGGAACAAAGGTCAATGACCCACGCATCCAAGAAAATGAAACTTGACGAACCATGCCCCGCGCCCATGATAATCAACGGTACTGGGCATCAGGGAACACACCCTGGGGGGGACCGACACAGCGCTTTTTGCCCTTCCGCAGCACCCCCTCCCCTCTGCCCC